TTTTTTTCCTCTCTCTCTCTCTCTTTCTCTCTCCCTCTCCCTCCTTTCTCTCTCTCTCTCCCTCTCCCTCCTTCTCTCTCTCTCCCTCTCCCTCCTTCTCTCTCTCTCTCCCTCTCTCTTTTGGTATCATTATCGTCAATTTCCCCTCAACCCCTTCCATTAAAAACTGAGAGAATAAAAGGGGGGAAACTCTTTGTGCCTAATAAGGTGTGTCTCATTCCACCCCTTGAGTCCATTGCTTCTCTGTCCAAACGTGTTCCATCATAGGTCCTCTGGAGATGAGGTTGATCATTGCATTGATCAGAGTACTTAAGTCTTTCAAAGTTGTTTTTCTTTCCGATTTTGTTGTCCTTGTATAAACTGCCCTCCTGGTTCTGCTCCTTCCACTCTGCATCAGTTCATGCTACCCAAGGCTCTCTGCAGTCATCTCCTGTCACGTCTTATGGTGCAATCATATTCCATTGCATTCCTGGGTCACAATTTGCTCAGCCATTCCCCAGTGGATGGACACTCCCTCACGTTCTAGTTCTTTGCTTTACTCTTTTCCCCCATTTTAATCTCTGCTTCAGGACCAAGAAATTTATTTTCCTCATGGCTATTCCCTCCCTAGTATCATCCTCCCCCTTAACTTCCCTTCTCCATCCCTGGTGACTTCTTTGTTGAGTCTGATGTATTTCTGCGCCCAACTATGTGTGCACATGTGTATTCAACCTTCCTTTGTCTATTTCAGATAAGAATGAGGGTCATCTGATGCCTACTTCCCCACCCCTTCTTTCATGTTTGTATATTCTTCTCACATACCTCAGTTATAAAAATAGCAAATTCCACCTCTTTCTTCCTTTCCACATAAGAGTATTCCTCTCATCGTCCCTTCTTGTTCTCCTCTTAAAACCTCAAAACAGAACCAAATTATCCCCAGTTCCTCTGTTTTCATATCAGTACCCTTTGAAAACCCCAAAATTCTGAAGGGACACATTCCTTCTTTCTCTGCGAGACTTATTAGCACTGCAATATCATACAACCCTTTCCAATTAATCAAATAAATTTACCTTTCTAGATTTCTTTTAATTCCTATGTTTGCATTTCAAATTTTCTATATAGTTCTGGTCTTTTCATTAGAAATAATTGAAAGTCTTCTATTCCACTAAAGATCCATTTTTTTCTATAAGACTATACTCAGCTTTACAGGGTAAGTTAATCTTGATTGTAAGTCTATACCTTTTGCCTTCTGGAATACTGCTTTCCAAGATCTCCTCTCTTTTTAAGTACAAACTGCCAGCTCTTATGTGATCCTGTCCTTAGGTCCTTGGTACTTGAATTACTTCTTTCTGGATCCTTGCAGCATTTTTTTTTTCTTTGATGTAGATGTTCTAGATTTTGACTCACATTCTTGTGACTTTTTCTTTAGAGGATTCTTTAGGAGGTGAGTGATGGACTCTTTCCATCTTTGTATGGCTCTGTGGTTCTAAATAGATTTGGGTAGTTTTCACTTGTGATTTCTTGAAATAGAGTTGTTGTTTTTTTTTTTAAAAAAAAAAACTTAGATTTCTAGGGAATCTGATGATCCTTAAATTTTCTCTCCTGCACCTTGTTTTTAGGGTCAGGTATGTTTGATATCTTACATTTTCTTCTATTTTTAAAATTTTTTTATTTCATCCTACTATTTCTGGCTGTCTCATGGAGTCACTGATTTCTCTTCGGTCTGGTCTATTTTTTATTTACTTGGGAAATGTTTACAACTATTTCTTCTGAATTATTTGTTCTCCTTCCAGGTCTTCTCTTCATAACTTTTATTTCATTTTTTATCCCTTGCTCCTTTCTTCTAGGTAACAATATTTTCCTTGCGGAATATCCTTTCATTTTTTTCCCCCTTTGAGTCTCTGCTTACAGTTGTTAGCGGAGTTGTGTGCTTTTTCTTTGGGGGCAGTTCTTTGTTGTTGTTCAGTTGTTTTTCAATTGTGTCCAGCTCTTTGTGACCCCATTTGGGGTTTTCAGGGGCAGCTAGGTGGTGCAGTGGATAGAGCACCGGCCCTGAAGTCAGGAGGACCTGAGTTCAAATCCGGCCTCAGACCAAACACTTGACACTTACTAGTTGTGTGACCCTGGGCAAGTCATTTAACCCCAATTGCCTTAAAAAAAATCCGTTTGGGGTTTTCCTCATAAGGACACTGGAGTGGTTTGCCATTTTCTTCTCCAGCACATTTTACAGATGAGGAAACTGAGGCAGACAGGGTTCAGTGACTTGCCCAGGGTCACACCGCTAGTAAGTGTCTGAGGTCAGATTTGAACTCAGGAAGATGAGTTTTTCTGACTCCAGACCCTGCACTGTCTCTGCTGTGCCTCCTGGCTCCCCTAGGGCGATCTCCAACTCTTCAAAATTTTGATACCAGTCAGTGTTTTCTTTAGTTTACTCATCTCTCCAGTTTTAGTCCCTAATTGGGGATTTGTAACAGGGCCCCAGGCTTTGCTCTCTGCTGTGCTCTGGGGTGGAGTGATGGGTCCTGCTTGGTCTTTCCCTGGGTCTCCTGGTTCACTCTGACCTTCATTTCCAGGGGTTAGGCCCCTTTGAGTCTTTGAGGTTCAGAGGTCTGGGTCATCAGGGCTTCTCTGGTGTCCCAAGACAGAATGCTAGGGACCCTGGCTCCCCTGGGCCTGAACTGAAAGGGTCTGAGAGCTGCCACCCTGCTCCAGAACCGGTCATTACCACTTAGTAAAGATTCCAATGTTCCCCCATCCTCCGGGGTTTTCTCGGGAGGCCTTCAGCTCCTTGGGAGAGAAAACCCTGCAGGCTACAAGTTTATTTGCATGGGCTGACTCAGCTGACTTCAGTAGAGGCTCAGCTTCCTAGGGCCTGTGGGCTTGGGAAGAACTTTGTGTACAGTTTTGGGGTGGAAGATGCCACTAGTTCCACTTTCTCTTTGGATTTCTTGATCATTATTTGGTCTTACACAAATTTCAGGGTTTCTCTAGAGTCTTCATGGCCAGAAATCCACAGTGATTGTTGGAGTTTTCAGTTCTGACATTCTCTGTTCTAAAGCCCTCCCAGCTCTGACATTCCATGTTCTGTGATTCCAGAATCTCTGACTTCCTCGGCCGTGCCCCTGGGCCCATCCCAGTGATGTGGGCAGTAGCCTCAAGTCCCAGCCTCCTTGTCACAGTAATATCCCCTTTCATTTTTTTTCCATATTCTTTTCAAGTTTCTCTCTCCTCCCATTCAGTCCTCATCATGACCCTTCAAGGGAAAGGCATACTCATTCCTATGTCACTGATAAGGTCCAGAACAGGGCAGTGACTTTCCCCAAGGCCACCTGGGAGGTCAGTGGGTGGTGCTGGACCGTAGGTCAGTGTGGCCCTGTCCATCTTCCAACCCACTACTTCCCAATGGCCAACTGAGTGTCTGTGCCCTGGTAAGCTGTATCAGGACATTCCTAGCGCTCAGTGAACCTCAACCTTCTCTGAGTCAGGGGGCCCTGCCCTGTTCACTGGAGGAGAGAGGAAAGATGAGAGCTGAGCCTCCCACCCCACAGGCCCAACCCATCTGGCTTTCATGAGAATGAGGACCTTACTCTGGGAAGTAGACAGTAGAGAGAAGGCTGCTGGCCCAGGAGCCTCTGCACGTCCACGGCATTCTGAGGATTGGTGTATTGTCATCTCTGGGGAATTTTACTTCTGCCCCCAGGGAGTTGTGGGAATCCAAGCCAGACTTGGACAGTCAAAAACCCACGCAAGACGGGGGAAGGGCTGGGCCTTCTCAGGCCATAGTCACAAAGGGATAAAAGGAGGGCCGGACAGAGGGAATGGAGGTCCCTGTGGTGGACAGAGCAGGGCCCCTGAATGGACGCTGTCACCTAGGGTGCGGGGCAGGGAACAGGACCTGAAGTTTCTTCTGTGGTCTATTTTTCAGAAACTGGTGCTCGTACATAGTGACCCGGACTGTTTCCTGCCACATCCAGAATGGCACCTACCTGCAAAGGGTCCTACAGAGCTGCCGGTGGCCCATGAGCTGCCCTGGGAACAGGTAAGAGAAGAGGGATCCTCAGACCCTGAAACGGCTCAGCCTAACCCAGAAAACATTTATGAATCTACTTCTGCGTGTACGTTGGACTGACCAAGGCACTGGAGATAAAGAGCCTCCCCCAGCCACCCAGCTTAGTGTGGACACTGCTTCCTCTCCTCCATCTTCCCGGTCACCCAGGCTCACAGCCTAGATGTCGTCCTCAATGCCCCTCTCCTTCTCCCTCTCTACTTCATATCCAATCAGTGCTCGAGGCCTGTCCATTTTACCTTCAAACATACTCTCCTATATTTATTAATTCATTCATTCATAGTGCGGTACATTCATTTGTTCATAGTGCGGTACATTCATTCGTTCATAGTGCGGTACATTCATTCATTCATAGTGTGGTACATTCATTCATTCATTCATTCATAGTGCAGTATGTTCATTTGTTCATAGTGCAGTACATTCATTCATTCATAGTGCAGTACATTCATTCATTCATAGTGTGGTACATTCATTCATTCATTCATAGTGCAGTATGTTCATTTGTTCATAGTGTGGTACATTCATTCATTCATTCATAGTGCGGTACATTCATTCATTCATAGTGCGGTACATTCATTCATTCATTCATAGTGCAGTGTGTTCATTTGTTCATAGTGTGGTACATTCATTCATTCATTCATAGTGCGGTACATTCATTCATTCATAGTGCGGTACATTCATTCATTCATTCATAGTGCAGTGTGTTCATTTGTTCATAGTGCGGTATGTTCATTCATTCATTCACAGGGTGGTCCATTCATTCATTCATAGTATGGAACATCTATTCATTCATAGTACAGTACATTCACTCAGTAAGTTATAAAAGATACATTCATTAATTCACAAGAAAATAGACGCCTTCAGGCGGTCAGCCAGGGTACTCATTGTCAATAAACGTTTGATCAACCCTCACTGTTCCCCCAATGCCATCCTGGTCATTGTGAGGGAGATGGATGATCCCTGTCCTCAAGACACTTCCAGTCTCTTTGGTGAGGTGACTTGTAGACCTGAAAAGATCTCTGCATTCAGTAGGTGCTTAATACCTGTTTAGTGATTAGATGACTGTTACAAGTTAAATAACAATTGGAGGAAGTAGGAATGTAAGCACGTGAAGGTCAGGGACCACTTCATTTTTGTATGTCCAGGGCACATAGCAAGCAGGAAAGAAATGTTTGTTGAGTACAGTGATAATAATAACTGACATTTCTATGGTTTCTATAGTCTTCTAGTATATACAGTATACTGTTGTATATAATAGTTGTGTATACTGTCTTATATAGTCTTACCAGAGGGATCTAGTTCTATAGATTTACATGGTGAGTATATAAATTCTCTCCCTTGATTTCAGTTCTCCAGTGAGTGGCACAGAAAGCAGGCATCATGGGAGTTCAGGGGAAGCGATTCAGTGTGGTAGTCAGAGAGGGCTTCTCGGGAGAGGTAGGACTGTGCAATGAACCTTAAAGAACAGGCAGATGTCTGAGCAAGAGGAGGAGGTGGAAGGAGAGCCTTTGGGGGGGATGGGGAGGTCGGCACCTGGTCCATTCAGGGATGGCCAACACACCAGTCCAGCTTCAGAAGGAAGGGTCTTACATGAGGGAACCAGGTACATGTAAGTGCAGAGTTAGACTGGGCCTGGTCCCCCCAGACCAGCGTGGCCCTCCCTGCTCTCATCTTCCTCAAGCCGGGTCTCTCCTTTGCCTGTCACTGGATGCTCTGGGCTCCACGTGGCCACCAACAGTAGGCTCCTTCCCTCCACCCCTGACTCTGGTGGTCATAAGCCCTTCTTGAGGCCAAGATCAAGGGCAGTTTTTATATGGGTAACCCCAGCATCTGGCATAGGGTCTTGACCACAGGAGGCCCTGAATAAATGTTTGTCAGACTGAATTGAAGCCAGATTGTGGCAAGCCTTGAATGCCCTCATGTAACACGTAAAACAGAAGCTGGACTTTCTCCAGCGTCCATAAGGGTCAGTTTGGGTGTCTGGACACAGATACAGGAAAACAACAGGGCTCCTGGAAGTCATTTCCCCTTCCCCTTCCCCCTGAATTTCTCTCATTTTTCTCCCTTTTCTCTGTCTCTCCCTTTTCTCTTTCTCATCTCTCTCCTCTCTCTCTCATCTGTCTCTTTTCTCTCTCTTCTTTCTCTCTGTTTCTGTCTGTCTCTGTCTCTTTCTGTCTCTCTCTGTCT